TGCTGAAGATGATTGGGCTCGAAATTTACCCAAAAGCGGAAATGAGTGAAAACAGACGCACACCAGGTCGAGATTTGACCAGGCTGCCTCATCTGGCAATACCAGGCCCAACTGCTTCCTGCAGGAGGGCCTTCGACACTAAGGCCCAATTGAGGCTCAATTTCCTCTAAATCACATGTGACACAAAAGTATTAAAAATTTCTGAAAAAACTCAGAGGCTGAAGTTTAAATTATTAACATGCTATTAGTACTAACAATAAGAGATTAAACCTTACTTATTCATGAATCACCTCAAACTTAAATATGCAATCACTTTAACACTGTTGAAATTCGAGTTGATTTAACTGAAGGCGCTCAGCAGTCAAACACTATCCCTTTCTGACATGTTCAGTACACATCCAGCATCCTCTAATAAAGACTAAATGAATTACCATGGCTATTAAACATTTGAAAACTGTCAAACAGTAGATGGAACAACTAGACTAATTTGAACGTTCATACAAATAACTAAGTTATAGTTTAGAACACCAGATTCAGAATGCTTAAACAAAACTAAAATAGAAATACTAAACTAAATAACTTGCAAACAGCATACATAAGAAAAAACTGGAATTTAACATTTGAATACCCAACTTCTTATTACATTAAAGACTAAACACATGGTTTAGAGCTTCATTTTGCAACTCAAAAGTTCATAGAGGTACCTGGATGTCAAGAACAAAGACAAGAGTGAAGTAAGGACTTTATCAAGAAATAAGTAGAGGACAATATCAAATCACAGCAGGACACATCTTCAGCTTAATCCATACTCGAATCAGAAAACCAGAAATCCTAGAGAAAGTTTTCTATGTTTTTTTACTAAAAAATCAGAAGAAAATAGAACCATCTACCAATGAAACAGTAGTTGAACCTTTTTGGAGTGTTTTTTAGGGTTCTCAATCTCTCCCTAATGAGTGAAAAAAAGGTTCTATTTGTACTCTAAGAGGGTTGTTATGTGCTCTCCAAGTCAGGAATTATTCCCTTTGAAAGCAGCCCTCAAAGAGCGTCTTTTCTAAAAGAATTGGACAACTGGTTGTCCCTAATTGGCTTCACTATTTTGTACTTGTCAAATAGGACCAGCTGCCCATGTTCTAGAACCCTCTACCTAGCCTTATCTCATTTTTATATTTGCCCACCCCTCAAATGACCCCTTTAAGTTTTTCTTGTGTTAAATTAACCCCCAGAAGTATCTAATGATATACAGATCATAACACACATCAACAGAACCAACAATTTTATAATAAATCCAATCAAAGAGACTGCCAAACTCTGAAATAACCACGCTGATTCATATTAACATAGGCGAGACGATCAAACACGTAACAATAGAATACTGAAAATTTCAAAGCATGCAAACTAAAATAAGAAAACTATTATGAAGAAGAGAAAAGGAAGAACAACGAAAGAAGGAACGGAAAATACCACATAGATATGCCCGAAACAGTTATGAACTTGGAGTGAACTGATTTATACAACTGACTAACTTAATGGCTAACAAAAACAAAAAAATGCAATTAAACAAAAACAAAAATAAATAATTAAAAAACCCAAATGAGATAGTAGTCTAATAAATCGATAAACAAACAACACTGTGGTTTTTTTCTTCTATTAGTTTTCCTAAACATGAATCAGAATACTAAAACTAACAAGCGAAGACAAGGCTGCACCTATTTGAGAAACAGGGAAAGATCTGATGCGGATCTCTGCTTGGGCTTTGATATAGCTCAAAATTGACCCCAAATGATTCTTCTTTTCAAGAACATTCTATTTGGGGTGAGTTTCAAACTATACGAACGAATAAATCGCGGAGGAATGAAACATGGAAGAACAATTGCTTTTTGGATTTTCAAATTTAATATTTGGCTGGTTTGAGGAGGATTTGGGGGAAATAACTCATGGTTTTGGAAAGGAGGGGTAAAGGTGGTTCGAGGGTGAAAATTTGGAGGTGTTTGGAGACCAGCCATCGCCGTGAAATGATTTCCGGCGGGCGGCGGCTAGGGTTTGGGCCGTGTGTGTTTGAGAGAAAAACAGGGCGACTAGTGTTTGCTAGGTTAGAGATGGGGGCGAAGTGAAAGGGTTCTCTACGGTATGGAGGGAGGGGGGTTCCAACATATATAAGGGTAAGGGGTGCCGAGTTCCCAACCGTTGGATCATCAGAGATCAACGGTTGGGATTGAAGGTAGCCAAACGACGTCGTTTGGTTAAGTGGGGGATCTGGACCGGGTAGGGGATTGGGCTGGGTGTATCAGGGTGTGGATTTGGGATAAATGAATGGTTTTGGCCCAATTTCGGGTCCAAATCACATTTTTTTTTGTATTAGTTTCTTTTAGTTGCCCATTTTAGATACTAATAACTTAATTAACCCTAAATTATATCCTAAACCAAAACTATCAATGTAAAATTAACTTAATTATCTATTTTTAATACTAAAGTGATTAATTGATTTAATACTACTGAAAGCAAGGTACTAATATATAAAACTAAAGCTAAAATGCGGAATAATCTATATATACTAATTTTTTTTATTGATGCAATTAGTTGACATTTAAACGAAAAAAACAACTATCAATCTAAGAATGCAACGCATGAGACTTAAATGTATATTTTTCGGGTATTTTCTATGCTTTTACTATATGCAAAAAATGCAACAGAAATGCAAACAATTAAACAAATATTCCTAAAAATTCTATAAAATATTGAAATGAACTACAAAAGTCTATTGTGTGATTTGTAGGAGTATTTTGGTCGGGCTAAAATCACGTGCTCACAGCTGTCCCTCTTTGCTCGGAAACGCGAAGAGTTTTAGGGCAAAGATAAAGTGAGTGAATACGAGCGATTGTTGCCCGTTTGGATACTCCGTGGGAAGCATTTTTGAGAAGTCTAACCGAACCTTGCTTCCGAGGTTGCCTGAATATCCTTGGCTATAAAGGAATCAGGTCAGTGTAGTTCTGGATGTTTTGGGTAGCTGGGACTACCGGGAAGCTATGATTTCACTGATGTTGCTGCTGTTACTGCTTGCTGAACTCCTTATTACACCAAAACCAAAATTAAAAGAAGCTAGACAAATCTATGATCTATGAGTTACAAGATTCCTATCTATATGTCTTCAAACATGATCTTGAAACTTCTGCAGTTCTATCGTGCATCTCGAACTGTTGACTCGAATTCTCGAGGCGAGCTTGTGTTATTCCTAACATGAATTGACCCCATTCTTCAGGCGGGTTACTGCTGTTGTCTTGGGCTTAACTCTGATATATATTCCCTCGTTCCCTAGGTGGGTTCCCGCTACTTGACTTGATACATGAAACGAATTCCCTTGTTCTCCAAGTGGGTTCCTGCTACTTGACCTAATACTTGAATGGATTCCTTGTTCTCCAGGTGGGCGCCTGCAACTGATGTTGACATAAATTTTGAAATATATTCCCTTGTTATCCAGGTGGACGCCTGCAACTTAAACTATAAATGAATTCCCTTGTTCTCCAGGTGGGGGCCTGAGGTTGACTTAAAATTTGAACTAAATTCCCTTGATCTCCAGGTGGGCGCCTGACACGTAAACTTTGAAATAAATTCCCTTATTTTCCAGGTGGGCGCCTGCAACTTAAACTTGAAATGAATTCCCTTATTCTCCAGGTGGGCGCCTGCAACTTAAACTTGAAATGAATTCCCTTGTTCTTCAGGTGGGCGCCTGATGATAACTTAAAATTTGATATAAATTCCCTTATTTTCCAGGTGGGTGCCTGCAAATTAAACTTGAAATAAATTCCCTTGTTTTCCAGGTGGGCGCCTGATGCTTAAAGTTGAAATGAATTCCCTTGTTCTCCAGGTGGGCGCCTGATGCTAACTTAATATTTGAAATAAATTTCGTTGTTTTTCGGTCTCTGGGTGAAGAGGAAGAGGAGGGGTGCTCGGGGCCGACCGCGGATTAGATGGGGAGCTTTGACTAAGGAGAAAGCCTAGGAGTTGGAGAGGAGGTTAGTTGATGGTGGAGCTTGGAGAAGTTCTGGGGATGCGGACGCAATGTGGTCAGCGACGGCGAACTTGGTTAGGGAGGCAGCGCGGGATGTGCTTGGGTAGCAAAGGGCTATTCAGGCAGACATCAAGGTGACTGGTGGTGGAACGGTGTAGTCCAAGGAATAGTGGAGGCGAAGAAGGCGGCGTTTGCTAAGTTGGCAGGGAGCACAAGCGAGGAAGAAAGGAGAGTGAACAGGGAGAGCTACAAGGTGGCGAGGAAGGAAGCGAAGCTGGCGGTCACGGAAGCTAAAAATGCGGCGTTTGGTCATTTGTAGGAGGAATTGGGGGAGAAAGGCGGGGACAGGAAATTATTCCGGTTGGTTAAAGTGAGGGAGAGGAAGGCTCGGGATCTAGAACAAGTTAGGTGCATCAAGGACGAGGATGGTAGAGTTCTGATGGGGGAGACTCTAGTCAAGCAGAGGTGGCAATCGTACTTTGGAGACCTGCTTAACGAAGAGGGGGATCGAGACATAGAGCTAGGGGAGCTGGGGCATTCAGAGTGTCATAGAGACCTTGGGTACTGCAGGCGCATTAGGGTGGAGGAGGTCGTGGGGGCTTTGCGTAGGATGAGTCAGGGTCGAGCGACCGGGCCAGACGAAATCCCGATGGAGTTCTAGAAATGCGTGGGTAGGACAGGAGAGGAGTGGCTGTCTAGGTTGTTCAATGTGATCTTCAGGACTAAAAGGATGCCGGATGAGTGAATGTGGAGTACAGTGGTGCCCTTGTATAAGAACAAAAGGGATATCCAGTGTTATAACAACTATAGGGGTATCAAATTACTTAGTCACACCATGAAAGTCTGGGAGCGGGTGGTTGAGGCGAGGGTGAGGGGGATGACATCCATATCTGTGAACCAATTTGGTTTCGTGCCGGGCCGCTCCACTACAGAAGCTATCCACCTTGTCAGGAGATTGGTGGAACAATTCAGGGATAAGAAGAAGGACCTGCACATGGTGTTTATTGACTTGGAGAAGGCGTATGACGAGGTCCCAAGGGAGGTGCTATGGAGGTGCCTGGAGGCGAAGAGCTTGCCGGAAGCCTACATCAGAGCGATCAAGGACATGTACGATGGAGCTAAGACTAGGGTTAGGACGGTGGGTGGCGACTCAGACCATTTCCCGGTGGTTATGGGGCTTAGCCAAGGATCCGCGCTTAGCCCTTTCTTATTTGCCTTGGTGATGGATGCACTGACACGCCATATTCAAGGGGATGTGCCATAGTGTATGCTATTTGCTGATGACATAGTCTTGATAGACGAGACGAGGGTCGTTGTTAACGAAAGGTTGGAGCTCTAGAGACAGACTCTCGAGTCTAAGGGTTTCAAACTAAGCAGGTCTAAGACAGAATACCTGGAGTGCAAGTTTAGCACCGAGTCGAGCGAAGTAGGAAGGGACGTGAAGCTTAGATCTCGGGTCATCTCCAAGAGGGAAAGTTTCAAATATCTTGGGTCGGTGATTCAAGGGGACGGAGAGATAGACGAGGATGTCACTCACCGTATAGGGGCGGGGTGGTGGAAATGGAGGCTTGCATCAGGAGTCTTGTGTGACAAGAAAGTTCCACCGAAACTCAAGGGGAAGTTTTATAGAGCTGTGGTTAGACCTGCCATGTTGCATGGGGCGGAGAGCTGGCCGGTTAAGAAATCGCATGTTCAGAAAGTGAGGGTTGCGGAGATGACGATGCTCAGGTGGATGTGCGGGCGCACCAGGTTAGATAAGATTAAGAATGAAGTTATTCAGGAGAAGGTGGGGGTGGCCCCAGTGGATGAGAAGATGCGGGAAGCGAGGCTCAGGTGGTTCGGGCATGTGCGGAGGAGAAGCCCTGATGCCCCGGTAAGGAGTTGTGAGTGGCTGGCGGTGGTTGGCTCGAGTCGAGGCAGAGGGAGGCCTAAGAAGTATTGGGGAGAGGTGATTAGGCAGGACATGGCAAGAATGCGGATTTTCGAGGACATGGCCCTTGATAGGAAAGTTTGGAGGTCTAGTATCAGGGTTGTAGGACAGGGGCTTCTAGAACTTTTCGTACTTCATTCTCGGGGCTCGGTGGGGTTTGGTAGTTTCTGGTCGATATTATTGCATGCCATTTAATTTGTGGTTTTATGTTTAGATAATTATTTATGCGATTTCTGCTGGAGTCACTAATGTTTTTTTCTTTTTCTTTTTCCTTTTCCTATTCTTTCTAGAGCCGAGGGTCGATTGGAAACAGCCTCTCTGCCCTTTCGGGTAGGGGTAGGGCCTCTGTACGTATTACCTTCCCCAGACCCCACTTTGTGGGACTATACTGGGTAGTTGTTGTTGTTGTTTAAATTCCCTTGTTTTCCGGGTGGGCGCCTGCAACTTAAACTTTGAAATAAATTCCCTTGTTTTCCAGGTGGGCGCCTGCAACATAAACTTGATAGGAATTCCCTTGTTTTCTAGGTGGGCGCCTGCATTGTGACAAAACAAACAAAACAAAAGAAACTTTTCCGCCCCAGTTTGGTACCGGGAACATCTGTGAGTGTTAATCGAATCTTGTTATCCAAAAGAGCTATAAGAATTTAAAAGATGAATCCCATTATCCAGGAGGGCCCTGAAAAATTAAATCTCATCTTAAGATTGAAAACTTCAAAGCTATATTCTACTTCCTAAAGGTAAAACTTACGCTAAATCTGATTATCTATGAAGGTCTTAAAAGCTTAATACTAAATCCCATTATCCAGGAGGGTCCTGACTGACTTGAAACTAAATTCCATTATCCAGGAGGGGTCCTGAGAACTTGAAATTAAATCCCATTATCCATGAGGGTCCTGAGAACTTACGGTTGAACCTATCTGCCGTACACTTTCCTCACAGAGGGTTCCTCCTGAACACGAAATTTCCTGCCCCTGTTTCAATCAAAGAAGATCTTATCAGTTTGAAATGTGGTGGTTTGTTTGCGGCATTCTTGCATAAGGTGGCCTTTCCACTTCCATACTTTGTTCAGATTAGCTACCTTGGGCTAGCAAAGAATTGTTGAACTTCTGATCGAACCTCAACCACAGAACCCTGAATGACCCGAGTGCCTCACACTCATCCTGCTATTTTACATTTCTGTCCTTCCAATTTGAACCTCTATAATTCCTCAAAGTTCAAAAAACCACTTGACCACTTGAACATCCCCTAACACCTTATTTCTCATTTTGAATCATGCTATTTCTGGTATGCTTTGGCCGCACTTTGCTTTGTGCAAATAAAAGTTGGTAAAAACCTTTGAAATCCTTTTTTGCTTGCTTAACAAGGCTAACATTGAAAAAGACTTAGAGAAGTAGACCCAAAAGAAAACGAAGCAAAGTGACTTCGAGAAACAAAGACAAAGAGGGAATTTTAGACAGAGATGACTATTTGAGGAAGAGTGGGAAAGAGACTTATTTGAGTGAAGCAGCTTGCTCCAATGATCATGACATGCATTTTGGATTAATCAGCCCAGACCGTTCACCTAATCATATTTCATTTTGTGCCCCGTCTTCATACTTCGAAATCGGGATTTTCCATAAACCAATCTCTCTGCAAAGTCCCGAGCCTCATTCGTCTTGTAGTCCCCTGAGGGGTTTTCAGCAACAAACCTCTCTCATTTGTTCATCTCTCAACTCACTGTCGCCTTACGGTGCCCGCGAGGGTTTTCACCAATAAGAATCTCTTATTTTGGTTTACTCTCAGCTTTCCATCGCCTTACGGCGCCCGTGAAGGTTTTCACCAACAAGACTCTCTCATTTATTCATTTTTCCTTGTGCTCCTAAACAAAAGTGTTACCCATGATGTGAATCATACCTTTATCTTGCTTGACTTGACATATTTCAAAGATTGATCATAAGGTCTTTCTTTGGACCGGGGTGCGAGCTTTTGGACGGGGTTAGAAAGGAAAGGCAGCATGTCGGCTTAAAAATAATAAGCGGGTTCAAAGTTACAACTTATGGAATCAGATCTTTTGCAAAACCACAACTTCTGCCCCAGTTTCTTCGAGTTTGGGGAATTTTGGATATTTGTTTTGATGGGACCAAACCGTGAGGCTGCCTACATATCCTTAAAAGGAATCAGGTCGAAGAATGTGTTTCAATAGATCTGATTCCAAAAGTTGGGCAACACTCTCGTTACAATGAATGGCCCTTGCCACATCGAATTTTCGGGGACGCACCTTCTTGTTGTATGCTCTTGCCATTCTCTTTTGATACAATTGACCATGATATACTGCCGCCAGTCTTTTCTCATTGATCCGACTTAACTGCTCCAAACGGGTTTTGACCCACTCATCTTCATCAATTTCAGCTTCAGCAAGAATCCGAAGGGATGGAATTTTGACTTCCGCGGGTATAACTGCTTCAGTACCATATAACAACAAATAAGGAGTTGCACCTACTGAAGTGCGAACAGTAGTGCGGTAACCCAGCAAAGCAAAAGGCAACTTTTCATGCCATTGCCTAGAACCTTGCACCATCTTTCGAAGTATCTTCTTTATGTTCTTGTTAGCCGCCTCAACAGCTCCATTTTCTTTTGGGAAATATGGAGTGGAATTTTGATGCATAATCTTGAACTGTTGGCATACTTCTTTCATCAAATGGCTATTAAGATTAGCACCATTGTCCGTGATGATTACCTTGGGGATTCCAAACCGGCAAATGAGGTTCGAATAAACAAAATCGACCACTTCCTTCTTGGTCACATATTTGAAAGTCATAGCTTCAACCCACTTAGTGAAATAATCGATGGACACCATAATAAACCTGTTCCCATTTGATGTCGATGGCTCAATTGGTCCAATGACATCCATGCCCCAAGCAACAAAGGGCCAACGTGCGGATATCGTATGCAACTCAGGTGGCGGAGAATGAATCAAATCACCGTGTACCTGGCATTGATGACACTTGCGCACAAAGCTGATGCAATCTCATTCCACGGTGAGCCAATAATAGCCTGCTCCAAGAATTTTCTTTGCCAAAACATAACCACTCATATGCGGCCCGTAAACTGCGGAAGGCACTTCGGTAATGATAGTCGTGGCTTGTTTAGCATCTATGCACCTCAGCAGTCTATGATCTGGAGTTCGCTTGTACAAAATTCCCCCGCTCAAGAAAAATCCACTAGCCAAACGTCGAATTGTTCTCTTTTGATCACCAGTGACCTGTACCGGATACACCCCCATCTTGATGTATTCCCGGTTATCATGGAACCACGATTCACCATTATGTTCCTCCTCAACCACATTACAGTAGGCATGCTGATCACAAACTTGAATCTGTAGAGGGTCAACATAAGCCTTATATCGATGGTGTAACATTTACGCCAAGATAGCCAAGGCATCGTCAATCTCATTATGGATCCTAGGAATATGCCTGAACTCTACTGATCTGAACCGTTAACAAAGATCATGCAAACATTATCGATACAGTATGAGCTTTAAATCCCGAGTCTCCTATTATCCCTGAATCTGGTGCACCAACAGATTCTAATCTCCCAAGACAAAGACTTCCTAGACTCCCATATCTACAGCTAACCTCAAACCCAGAATACATGCCTCGTACTCAGCCATGTTGTCGGTACAATAGAAACGAAGTTGCGCTATAACAGGGTAGCGATGCCCTGTTTCAGAAATGAGCACCGCCCCTATTCCAACACCTTTCATGTTCGCGGCTCCATCAAAGAAAAGTTTCCAACCTGGCTTTTCACCCTGCTCAACCTTATCAATATGCATTACCTCTTCATCAGGAAAATAAGTCCTCAATGGCTCATACTCTTCATCCACCGGGTTCTCGACCAAATGATCGGCCAATGCTTGGGATTTCATCGTGGTTCGAGTCACATAGATGATGTCAAACTCTGTGAGCTAAATCTGCCACTTTGCAAGTCTTCCTGTGGGCATAATCTTCTGAAAGATATACTTTTGAGGATCCACGCGAGAAATGAGGTAAGCAGTGTAGGATGACAGATAATGTTAGAACTTTTGTGCCACTCAAGTCAGGGCGCAACATGTCCTTTCAAGCAGAGTATACTTAACCTCATATGAAGTGAAATTCTTGCTGAGATAGTAAATGGCCAGATCCTTCTTGCCAGTGATGTTGTGTTGACCCAACACACAACCAAATGAATTATCCAGGACTGTCAAGTAGAGAATTAAAGGTCTTCCAGGCTCCGGCGGGACCAATACGAGTGGGTTTAACAAGTACCCCTTGATCTTATTAAATGCCTCCTGGCACCTCAGTCCATTTGACCGCGGCATCTTTCTGTAGCAACATAAAGATAGGCTCACAGGTTGTCGTGAGCTGAGCAATAAACTTGCTGATGCAGTTTAATCACCCGAGCAAACTCATCACCTCAGTCTTATTCGTTGGCGGTGGCAATTCTTGGATAGCTTTGATCTTTGATGGATCTAACTTAATGCCTTGCCGACTGACAATGAACCCTAACAGTTTCCCAGACGGAACACCAAATGCACATTTTGTAGGGTTGAGCTTAAGATTGTACCTACGGAGCCTCTGGAAAAACTATCTCAAGTCTCCAACATGGTCGGACTGCTTTCTTGACTTGATGATCACATTATCCACATAGACCTCAATTTGCTTGTGTGTCATGTCATGAAATACGGTAATCATTTCCCTCATGTAGGTCGCCCCAACATTTTTCAAACCATATGGCATTACCCGGTAGCAATATGTTCCCCATGGTGTGATGAACGATGTCTTGTCTGCATCTTCCTTATTTATCAAGATCCGGTGATATCCCGCATAGCAATCCACAAAAGACCCAATCTCATGCTTGGCATAGTTATCAATCAAAATGTGGATATTTGGCAATGGGAAGTTATCCTTTGGACTTGCTTTGTTGAGATCGTGGTAATTAACGCACACCCTGGTCTTACCATCCTTCTTTAGTACTGGCACAACATTAGCTAACCAAGTGGGGTATCGCGTGACTTGAATGACTTTTGCATCCAACTTTCTGTGATTTCTTCCTTGATCTTCACACTCATGTAAGTCTTGAACTTCCTTAACTTCTGTTTGACGGGAGGGAATGCCGGATTAGTTGGCAATTTTTGAACTACCAAGTCAGTACTCAAACCCGGCATGTCGTCACATGACCATGCAAAAATACCTTTATATTCAAACAGTGCTTTGATTATTTCATCCTTGATTTGCTGTTCCAAGTGTACACTTATCTTGGTTTCCCTGATATTATCTGGATCTCCTAAATTTATTGCTTCAGTTTCATTCAAATTAGGATTTGGTATCTCGTTAAAATGATTTAGTTCTTTACTAATTTCCTCAAATGCCGCGTCTTCATCATATTCTGTTTCATCATCACACTCTATTTCTTGGATTATTATTTCAGAGTTAGATTGACTTTTAAGACTTGGCCAAAGATTCCTCATCATGTCATGTAA